AATAATTGACTACTTAGTTATTGGTTTGTTAGATTTAGGTGCTACGAACTTACTTAACAACTCTGATTCTAGAGAACAGGAGGATTTATATATTTTAAGTTTGTTTGATATATATCTAGAAGCATTGGAAATAATACCTAATAACATACGTTGCATTATTTAAGGTTTTAAATAAAAACGGAAAATAAAGTGGTCACTTAGGTAAAATATAAACATTTTCTAGGGTTAACTCTATATTCCGATCAGGTTACCGGTAGTGGTTACGAACTGACTAATGTAGCGACATCGCATTTCCGCTCACAAGGCAGAAATATTTGATTAAAGAGGATTATTTTACCTATACGATTGCGTAAATTCTCGATTCTCCAAAATCCTGAAATAATATCCCCATTAGAAAGTTATTTGGGTTGATTTCTTTTTGTAGGCATTTGGGAACTGTCTCCAATTTGATTTCTGAAGTTCTATAAAATAATATCAATAGGCCATCTACAAAATTTTAAGAATGAAAAACGGTACACAATATCTATAGATAGCACCTATTATAAAAACCTTGTTGGCATGGATTAATAGGTCAGGCACAAGCAATTATCAAGGCACAGTCAGCGAAAGTGTTATTTGAGAGTTCTAAATATTGCGATTTGTGTACATATAAATGAATAGTTAGTGATGACAAATTATACAATTTCTCATATAATTATATTTTGTGTTATGATTAATGAATGTTTTCATTTCAATTATTGAATAACAAGGCTGAAACATTAATAATGGTCATATCTAAATAAAATTGTAACTCATGACTATAAAAGAATTGTATTATGACAAACTAGTAGAATACATGTCATACAATTCCATATAGTGTAATGATCTACTTTAATAGAGCCTAATGAAAATGTAAATAAGAAAATATAATAAAAATAAAATAAGTTGATCCAAACAAAAGACAATCTACTGACTTCCAATAAATAATAATAAAAATTAAAAAAATCAATTAATTAATGTTTGTTATAATTTCAACAAAACTTGGTTATATTTTCAATAAGATAAATTGTATTGCAACTGATTACATGTTCAATATTTTTTTTTATGTTAATTAGATGTTTAAAAGAGTTAGAGGTATATATATATGAGACATATGACAAATAATTTTCTGGGCACTGAATTTATTATACATGATTTCCATTAACTACATAATTAATTTATTCTTTGTTGGACAATAAAAATTTATACAAATGGCAAGCTTAATGTGCTATGGTATTCTCTACCATATAACTATTAGGTAGAAATAGAAAGTGTGCTTTCAATGTGCCCATCTACTTCACACACAAAATGTCTTCCTTTGGATGTATGGGCCTTTTATCAGTTAACAAAAAATTAACTGATAAAAACTTTGTAAAAATCACAATATATTTTAAATTTATGTGACAACTTGATTAGTTTCATCCTTGTTTTAGCTTAAATGTTTACATAACTCCCTAAAAAAGTGAGAACACTGAACAGGCAATCAGTACAATAGATAATAACAATTTCAAATTATTTATTTAAAAACTTGTAGAAATTACATTCTTTAAGATTTAAGTATACTTACACATATAATAACATACAACAATTTGATCTAATATGTAAGAATAATGTTAAATAGAAGACAGACAGTGGTTCATCCACAACCCCTGACGGGGTTACAGGTACGGAGCTTGAGTCAATACTCATTGCTCGGGCGTCGACTGCGCAGGCTACCGCCTGCGTGTCACTATGTTTGAGCCCAGTGGGCCGAGTCGGCACTATTGTAAATAGCGCCAGCTAAGTGGACACAATGTGGGAAATTAAATAATAAAAAGAGGCATAAATTACGTCGTCGACCGTGCCGGGCTGGCTTAACCGTCGCCCTGGGTGGGGCCTGCTGTGCGCAGGAGATTTCGTGGCAATGCGCGCGTAGCGTCCGGTGGACGCGCATGTAGTGGGGCTAGGTCCCTTAGGTGTGGGTGGTGGCTGTTATCCGCCCGGCTGAACATAGTGTAGGTCAGCCGGCAGACAAACTCGTCTACGCTGGGACCCCAAGATCACTGGCTATTACGTCATTTCTAACATAACGACTTGCGTCTGCGCACAGTCGCAGGGCGCAGTTCTGCTGAACCTGCAGGCGCCGCCGCTGTGGTTCGAAGCACAGTGCGTACCAAGCGGGGGAGGCATACGTCAGCTGCGAACGAATATAAGTCTTGTAGATGCCTACTTTCGTTCGCAGCGACAAGTTGGATTGTAGGACCGGTCGTAGCATGACCCGCTCGCTGTCATGTGCAACGACCGGTCGATCTCTACCCCTAGGTAGCGCACTATGCGCTCCCATGATATGGGTAAACCACGGAGGTGGAGAGGCGACGGGTAACGTGTCCGGCAGCGAGTGGCTAGCGCCACCGTCTTTCCCACATTGACGGTGGTGCGCCACATGTCTAGCCCCTCGGGCAGGCGGTTCAGCAGTCGCTGCATGTTACGTGCGGCGGCGGCGGCACTGGTCGACGACGTGAAATACGCACTGTCGTCGGTGAAAGGAGCGAGGACGAAATCGCGCTCTCCCTTGAGGAGCTCATCCCTCAAGGTGAGGTTGTCGGTGTACGTCGCGCAGAGAGCTGGCGATATGCAGCTGCCCTGCGGCACTCCGGCGACAATCGGGTGGACGGCAGAGTCCACGCCTTCGACCATAACATAAAAGCTCCGGCCGGAAAGAAAGCTATCGATTACCCGCACGTAGGCTTGCGGCGTGCTAGTATATTCCACCATTCTTATATACTAGGCCGTCGTGCCACACGTGATCGAACGCTTTCTCGACATCGAGAAACACATCGACTACGTGTCGACCGCGATTATGTTCAACGGCCATGTGGTGTAGCACGCGCGCAAGTTGTAGCGTGGTAGAGAAGCCGCTCCGAAAGCCGAACTTTTCGTCCCGCGGAGACATACGGGTACAGTCGGCAAAGCAGCGCGCGTTTAAAGGTCTTAGCTAAGTGCGGGAGTAAATAGAAGGGTGGAAGAGACAGATGCAGATAAATCAAGCTGTACTAATGAGAAGACCAAAATCTCTGAATTCAGCGAGTTCTAAAGAAATATAAAAGTGATTGAAATCATTACATATAATAAAATCATTACAGGTCGCTGTCTGTGAGGATATATAGGAAAAGATTGAAAAGAAAGAAAAGGGAGATTTTATGAATGCAATAGAACCCAAAACAATGATTCTTAGCATTTTTGTGTGTTTGTCTATATGTTTGTGCATGCTATTCTCAAAAATAGCCCAGCCGATTTGAACAGTTTTAACTAATGTGTTGCAGTTTACTTTGGTTAACATTTAGTGTTTGTTTTATTTCAATCAGTTCATAAATAAAAAAATTGTATCCTTCTAAACAATCACATATAAAATGCTATCAAATAATGAAGCCGTTGAATTGGCTGAAACTTTGTGAAGGTATTAGGAACGTAATTGTCATCAATATGTAATTGGAATCAGGTCTTACACTACATTATTTTATTATATACATTTAAGTATATAATACAATGTAAGACCCAATTCATGAAGATTGCCAATGGAAATAATATACAGGAACTATATAGTTAGATGTGGGTAACATCATGGGAAACAGCTAGTAAGAAATATATGTAATTATAGAGATCTTTGGCACTTAATTCTAGTTTCTTAGTTTTATCAATTTACTATTATTATATATGGACCTAAACCAAATGTAACAGGACCTATTTATTTTATTTCTAACCACCTTTATGCCTACTACATCATACTTGTAGATTTCAGAAGTAGAAAACTATTGAGATAGATCACATTGCAAAGACATATCAAAATGAAATGTACACCAAAGTCAGACCTTAGGAACACAATTGTGATAACTGCATCCAATTTGGAGCAATAATTTTTGTGTGATACAGGAACAAACATACAGACAAATAAAATATCTACAAATTATTGTTTTGGCATCTGTTACTCTTATTAAGACATTCCATGTAATTGTTAATTAATTTTTTTTAAATGTTAATTTTTCTTACATATCTCCCATTTTATTTCATTATATTATTATACCATTTTACATATTTATAGATAATTATAGTTACTAGACCTGTAATGAACAGTACCATGAGATTGTTTTTATGTAAGTCAGGATGGTAAACAGACTCATCTATTGGAAAGTGGTATTATTTGCTTATAGACATAGGTAGTAACAAGCAATCAGGAGAGATCACAAAATAAACTGACACTCATGGCATTGCCATTCCTGAGAACTAAGGTATTGTCCTACAATTCCACTGCCATATATCAACCTTGAAACCAAAACAGAGTCCTGCAAATAAATCTGCTTAGCTGTGACAACATAAATGGAACAGATGTATTCATAGAGAAGACTTTTAGTTCCTAATAAGTACTAAGATAACTTTTAATATTTTACTTTATAGATATCAGATTTGGATTACTTTATCTTTCAGACTGATAGGAAGTACTAGCAGTTAATAAAAACAATAATATTTATATACATATATAATTATTATTATGAAATATGATCAACTCCCTAATACGATAGATTGATATCAAAGTATAATATCATAAGTACACATTAAGTATTGTAACTAATTAAAGAGAAATAAATTATTTATTAATATATTACACCTTTGAATTGTTTCAGTACATAGTAATTTATTAAAAAAATAAAATTGAATTTAAAACATTCCACATATCTACGTATTTCATAAATTTTAAGTAAATTAATATTGAATTTTTTGTTCAAGATACTTCTAATAAAGATAAATATATCAGTTAGTTAAATTATATTAATTAGATGGTCATCATCCAGAGTCATCTAATTCACTCATAGTTACAAATCAAACCATGTTATCATCTAGCCGTCTATAACTGTCGTCAGAAGCAATTTGAATACAGACTAAACATTCGAGTCTTCATGAATAATTCTAATCGCTCACACAATTTTAATTGTAAATCATGTACGTACCCTCTCTGGCTTTCAAGTAGACAGTGTTGGCGACGATGTTCTCCAATTCCATCAGTTCCAGTGTGGCGGATTTTAACGTAAGCCCTCCAGGAAGCAAGACCCCGCCGGTGCGGCTCCGTTGCCGCCTTCCGCGCAATATTACAGCCCATCAATGTACGTCCGATATCCACGAATTAAGCACTGCACACCATTAGCCGAGCTAACTTTCACACATACCACAGCACATCACTCAGAAAACCGATTAAGGCCAGCCACTAGCCTGGAATACGGCTTAACTTGAAAACACGTAAACGATCGAGGTACTAGGGGTGTGGTAGAAACGACGATAGCATTGCTAGTATATTATATACAGTGCTGTAAACGTTTTTAGAGAAGGCAACGCAAGTAAACTGGCTGTTTTTCTCAATTCACGCATAAATGAAGTACACGCCCGAAACAAGAGTGATATCGATGACGGAAAGCAATGCCAGTACGCTATAAAAACTACTATTTCGTGGTAACAATTTATTTTCCAGTTGCCTACATCAAGAAACAAACTACTACTTAGAAGATAAAAAAAAAAATGGTCTATCGTGAATTGAACTTACACCTTATGTTCCAAATGTAAAATGTATACAGGTTTTTGTGTTCTCTAGACAAAAATTTGTTTGAAATGATAAGTGTTTATTATAATTTTACATAAAATAAGAATCTAATATTATTATATATTATAATATTATTATTGTTATTGCATTTTTTTATCTTGTGTCATAAGTGTGATTGTAAACCGGGCCGCATAACTATATCCGTTTATAAAAGGTATTTTCATAATTTCTCAATAATTGTACTAGTTAGAAACACCATTTTATTTTTCGTGTAACATTCACATATGTTTTTATAATCTATAATTATATTAGATTTTTGCATGATGTACTTCAAAAATAAGAATGGTTTTTGTAGTTCCGTACTAAAAAGATACAAAGGAATGCTTATGGTGTGATTTTATCTGTCCGATTATGTCACAGTGTTTTTTTTTTTAATTAATGACAATATAGTGGTAACCTTACTTGTGCTATTAGTATATGCTGACGGAACACCAATAAATGATCATAGGTGAGATGAAAAGGCAGGTCTCTTAGCCTATCGTGATCAATACACTGGAAATTCAGCACGATGTTTTCCAGAGTAGACTACGTGGAGGTCGACCTAAATTTGACGTTATTAGGTCAATTTAAAAATTTGACTATTGTCCAAATATATAAAAGGGCTTCATTTTTATGTTTTAAAACTGATTTTTATTTATTTTTTATGCTGCTATTATTAAATATTATAATTTATAAAGGTGTATGTCACTATTGCATGAAAAAACGATGTTTCTAACTGACTCTGTTTTTGAGAAATTACCAAAAAGCTTACAGAAACAAGTTCGAATTTTTCACCACAACTTAAAATTAAAAATATTCTTGAATTATTTTTTATTTATTAAACAAAGTATAATGAATAATATATATATATTTAATTTTATTAGTTATACCTTGTATATATATACACATACATGTTGAGCTACAATATATATAAACGTAGAATATATATAGATAGAACTATTATACTATAACTATATAAGTAACTCTACTTTTAGCTTTAAAGACATAGACAATTTGCGCCACTTTGGTATCATTACACCTGCAGCTTGCACTATAAAGGATTTGGTGTAGGAGTATGAGTTGTAAATAGATAATTCCAATGTAAGATGTTTTAGACAACGCACACAAAGATTAGGGATTCTGTATGAAAATGTCTCTCGTAGATAATTAAAGAGTCAAACAAAATCTTGTACAGCAAGGATAGGATGCGTATATTGCATTAGAACCTTATTGGGAGTCAATTAAGTAGTTTGCGTTAACTGGAGATATGGTCGTATTTACGTAAACCAAAAACATACCTAATTCATTGATTTTGCAGTCGCTGTAATTTTTTCAAGCTATATTTTTGAAAGGTATGCAACATCACAATAGTTCAAAAGAGCAAGGAGCAGAAATTTAAAATTTTTTCAAGCTTTCCCCTAGAAACTACAATAAGGATTTCTTCAAAAAGGATATATTAAGATTTATTTAGAGCTGCAAAACATGTGATCAGTTTATAAGTATAATAGATGTATTGCATTGAACAATCTCTATTATGTTGTAGATATTTATTCCTTTACCTTAATTTATCTTTTATGATTCATATAATGTAATTTCAAGAAATACTGAAGGTAATACAAGAAATTAATTTAATTAGACTTTTACATAACTGTTACAAATTAAGTATGTACCTATCCGCGAGATTAGATTTCTTACTCCTTCTTAAGATCTCATTACTACTATTAGATTTTTTTTTCTACTGGCAATTAACTAAATGTCAAATTCTTAACTCTGCGGAAGTACCAACATTTATAAATTTAATTTTAATAATTAATTTCATTTATCTATTAAGTAAGTATATAGTTTTAATATAATTTCCTTATTATTATATTTTAAATATAAAGTATATAAAAAATGAAAACATTAAAGTGTACTAACTATTTTAAATTTATTTGTAAATACATTTCAATTATTAGAATTTGACATTGACACTTGGCGCACTGACAGTCCTGTGTTATATTAAAAGAAGCCATATAATCTGTGAAAGAAGCTAAACTTTAATCCTAAGAACAAGGAAGAAGAAAAGATAAAATAAAACTGCAAATCATATAATTGCCTTCTTTCTTCTTATGCAAAGTAAAATGAAGACGAAAGATACACCATCAGTTGCTATTTTTCTCAATTCATAATTTTTTTGAAGGGTGAAAAAGGAATGGTAACACCGCCTGCGCTAACGGGATACGCTGGCGGAGCACCAGTGAAGGGTGATAGATGAGAATGAAAACAGGCCAGTTAGCCCATTATGATGAATTCATCAGGAATTAACCATGATAGTTTCCAGGGACAACCGCGAGGAGGTCGACCTGATAGGGTATTAGTCATTATCATCAAATTATTTGCAATGACAAATTTTACATTACTGGATTATGTATTCAATAGTTTATGTAGAAAATATGCAAGCAGGTTGTATCTGAATTTGGTAGGGTTATACGGCCATATAACATTTTCTCTAAGAACAAGAATTTCCATACAAGGAATGATAAAATAAAAACTGTAAATCATATGGTTTCCTTCTTTCTTCTTATGTAAATTTAATTAGTAAAAATCTTAGAGTAGCAGTTGAATACCTACTTTGTTAGAAGTAGATATAAGTACATGGAAATATGACCAGCGTGAAAGTAGTAGTAGCACTAATATATCACAATAGATTTAGTCTTTTTTTATAATTCAAGTAATTGACAGTTTATTTATAACACAACATACACTAAATATATAAAATACTATATCACACTATTATATAATTATATAGTTTGTAAAGACAATTTTAGACAAAAGACAATTTTAGAACACGAACAAATATTAAGGTTACTAGGTAATTGTTATAAACTCTGCTACTCTTTTCTAAATGTATGTTTTATGACGTGCATTCTCATTGTATTATTAAAGAATTACCTATCTGATGTCTATTGATTTTAATTTATAAAAGTAATAATATTTTTCTTTTTCTATTTTCAAATTTCACTAGAGTTTATTAATACCTAGTTTGCACCTTAACAAAAAAGATGATAAAAGATACATCATCACTTGCTATTTTTGTAAATTCATAGCAGGCTCGTGTATAGAAATGTATACGGCCGTATAACTACCAGGATGAGCCTTCTTGGCATGTTCGTCTAGATGGATAACTTGTAGAGCAGACCGCCGTATAAGACGCTGTCGAACGTCTTTTCCATGTCTATGAATAGTGCAACGGCGCATTTTCTTTTGTTGAGAGCTGTTGTTACAGTACAGTATCCTAGTCAGTTGCAGTGTGGTTGAGTGTTCGGCTCTGAACCCGAATTGTTCACTTGTTGAAAATGTTCACTTCTTGGTTTGATGTGGGCGGTTATGTGTTTGAGTAACAGCCTCTCAAACACCTTCGAGATATGCTGCAATAATGTTATTGGCCGGTAAGATTCCAGTTGCAATACGTTTTTGCCGGACTTAGGCAGCGTGATAACTTTGCGTATCTTCTATAGATCTGGGAAATGCCCTGTGAGCATAACACAGTTGTACAGGCGTGTTACTGCCGCTATAATACGCATTAGTATCTACCAATTCGTATTATAGCGGCAGTAACACGCCTGTGTATCACACCAGGCATTAAACCAGATGGTGTGTGAACACCATCTGGTGTAATGCCATATTCGTGATACTATCGTTGAACCGCAACTGGGATGAAGAGCTGGTCGTTGTTTGTCTCGCTTGCTCAGCAAAGGGGCAGACCAAAATGGAAGCGACGATTTTCGTAGTACGGACGGCTGGTATCGGGAGCGCTGCAATGTGCGTCTGCTCTCATCGGCTGCGATGCTAATCCGAGCTATATTTAGGGGGAAGAAGAGAGGGGCCATATAAAACTGCGAATCGAGTTTTATGCCGGTTATTCATTTATCTTGCGCCGCGTAGCGCGCAGCATGTATGCGAATAGTTAATAGTAAGTAGCCCTACCATTAGCCATAAATCCTATGTTGCTAAATGAACAGATTGTAAAATAATAAAGAAATTGATAGAGAAGGCGAAGCACATAGTTTGCCACTGGTCTGCTGGCCAGTCACAGACCGTACATATATAAACAGCGCTCATTCGATCGCTGTTCATTGGCTTATTGGCTTCGAGGTTTCTCAGCTTCATTAGCTAAAAGACCGACCAAGCGAAATAGAGAAGAAACGGCAAGCTAGTACCTTGCTTCACTATCACAGAATCCTTCAAGATATTTGTCGTTTCATTCATCGTCATTCTTCTTCACACCCCTTATCGGTCTTCACCACTCAGTCATCGTATCATCGTGTTTCTCCGTTTCGTCACCGTGCCGTCAGTGTATTGTTGTGTCGTCTACGTCGAATCATTGTGCCGTCGAGGCATCGGGCTCGTCAATAGTAGTGTTCACGCACCTGGTCCTTCGAAATATTCAACGTTTGCGTTGCCGACGGAGCCCCATTTGGGGGCTATGCCTTGTACACCCACTGTGTGCTGCTCGACTTTTTATTGGGGGTGCTTTCTATGTGGGATAGGTCAACGTCCGGGCGTACCAGCGCCCCGGTGCTAGCCGAAGCGCCCTTCGAGCCTTGTCGTCAACGGCATCACACACTATAGTATAATTATAACCTGTTCGTTTCCATAACAACAGGCTAGCTAATATAATGAGAAAAGTAGGATTTTTGTCTAGATTGGTGATATATTATTGACCCAGTCGGTTTACGTAGCTTTTATGAAGTGCATATAAGAGAATGCACTTCGGTTATATACTCTTTGGTCTCCCTAATCTGTGTTGTTGGTTACTTACTCTATACTTCATTCGATATTTTTCCATATTTTAATTTATTGACTTTTTTTGTGTTATCGTGAATTTTTTTAATCCCGTACTTATAATTTCTTTCAGAGCTGAATAGCGGCAATAAGAAATTATATTTAAGTTATATTAAAAAATGCACGTTAACCAATGTTCTGCATGTAACAGCACAGATTTGAATCTAGTTGATGGTTATTATTATTGTGCTGAATGTGGAACTCAAGATGTAAATGCAAGGGGGTTAGTAGTAGACAAAAAGCAAATAGAAGATGTTACTTTGATCAGTAAAAAGAACAGGATTAAAATCGTAAACGAAGGCACCAAATGTAAGTTTCGAGATTACAAGCTTTGAGGTTATTACACATTGCGCACTCTTGTTATTGTTTTATCTTCTGACGGTTACAGTAATTTAGTCCTAAACATATGTTGACCGTCCCTAACGGTACCTATACTGACCTATTAAAAATTTACATATTCATTCTCTAAGTAACTACACAAGTATACCTAAACAGTTTATATATAATCAAAAACTGAAATCACATCACATAGGTTAACTTGCATGTTAGCTATACTACAGTTCTCTCATTAGTACATACTTTCTTATTAAATGAGCAAATTGTAAGTCAATTAGACATTATTAGTATGATTTAGTTATAAAAGTGTGCAAGAAAAACTTGAAATCCAATGCTAATGTTTGGGTTGCAACAGTCATTGCAGGTGAATATGTTCCATATATAAGGAAAAAATATTGCCCAGTAGTAGAACATAAATAGTTTGCTTTGGAGGAAAGGGATTGTTAGTAATGGGATCTACAATCTTATTAGATTGATCTCTATGCTGTTTACTCTAGTAATTATCATGTTAGGTTCTTGAATTTGTCACATATCTGCTTCCATTCTAACCTTTCATCTCTTACTGCTGCCTTACCAACGTATATTGATAACAGAGGCAAGGCTACCATTCCATTTTCATTCATAAAAAAAATAGTTGTTATCTTTGTCAAAGTTAATTTTTGTATTATCCTTATTTTCATGTTTTTAGTGAGTGGCGAATGGCACAAATGGCATGCATATAATTATATATTGGTGGGATTGACAGATGAATTAATTTCCATTGGGGCCAAACCCAGTCTCAAATTGAAAGTACTATGGCTGTGGTCCTTATATATCAAAAAATACCAGAACAAAAAGGAATTGGGGTATGTAAACATTATTCCCACTAGCTTTTATTCTATTATGTTATGTTATTCTCTTCTACTAATAATAATAGTAGTCAATCTTCAAATGTTAGCAGTATTCACATACTAAAATTAAACAAAATAATTCTAATCAACTAACCAATGATATGGTGCACACTATGCTTCTACTGTCTAGTTTAGTAAATTGATTTATGTGCTCAATAAAAAAATACTTGTATTATATAAAGTTACAAAACCTAAGTTAATTGTTATTAAACATCTTATAGTGTCCCCTTTAAAACATCACCAAACCTAGTGTGTTGGCAAACAAGTATGTGGCCCACTAGATAGTAAGTGGTTACCATAGCTTATGATCGCCTGCAATAAATACCAAGCATTATGCATGCATTCCATGCATGCATGCCAGTCCTGAAGAAAACTCTTTACCTCTTTTTGAAAAACCCCATGCTGTAGTATATATGTAGTATCTTGGAAACACCTCAACAGGGAACTTATACCATAACTAGAGCGTTCATGAGAGAAAACATCTCTAAACCGTGCTGTATGCGACCATCCAGGCTGTAAAATATGGGAGTGAACTCCTTGTTAATGATGAATTGTACTATGATAGAAAGTGGCTGTGGGCAACACAATGAACAATTTCTCTGAGTACAGTATGTTGTACCAGCAGTAGGTAGTGTCATGCAGTGTGACACAAAGATACCATTTGTAAACTTGTGTTTATTGATAGTTCTCATAGTTTGTCCTTGCGCTGAGTTAAAGGGTTTAAGGTAGTATCTATTATAGAATTTTGGAAAAACATCATTATAAATTTTTATGTTTTTGCTTCATGTAGAGATGAATCTTTGGGTTCATCTCCATTATCAATATTTATTTATTATAAAATCTTTATATATGATAAGATGTTTTATTTCTAAACGTAAATGGAGATCTGAATCGAATATTACTTAAAAAAAGATGCCGTTCGTCATATCTCTTCATTTTCAGAACACTTTGCTTGATAATAAGTGGAGTCTGGGGGTCCTTGGCATTGACGTTGTAACGTCTAATTTTGCGGACATCTGGAGGACAAGGCTAAGATGGCTTCCAAAAAGTTAGGAGTGCTCAATAAAGTGAGACAGTATTTCACGCGGGAACACCGCTTGAAATTGTATAATGTTCAAGTTAGGCCACATGAGGAATACTGTTCTCATCTATGAGCAGGAGTGTCACAGTACCAGACCACATTCAGAGATGAGCGGCTCAAATCATTGATGATCAGTGTTTTACTGGTCCGACCTGACCCACTGAAACTGCATAGAGATGTTGCATCTCTGTACATCTTCTACCGAATTTATCATGGGGAGTGCTCTGAGGAATTTTTCGGATTGATACCTGCTGCTGATTTTCACCACTGTACGACCAGCCATAAACTAAAGTTCCATCTCAACCATTTGGACGAGTGGCAGTCTTCCACCGTGCGTTTTTCAAGGCATTTTAATCCACGCACACGCCACCCACTCTTTGGAATCGACTTCCAGCAGCAGTATTTCCGAAATAATACAATATCATAACCGTCAAAAAAAGAGCATATTCCTTTTTAAAAGTCCGGCAGCACACCTGCAATGTCGTTGGTGTTGCGGGTGATCATGGGCGGCGGTAACCGCTTGCCATTAGATGAGCCAATTGCTCGTTTGTCCCCTGTATTGTAAAAAAAAGGTAATTAATATAAAGTTATTACATTTTTATCTTTTATTTTCAGATTGGCAGTAAAAGATAGTGAAGACATAAAGGATAGTAATACAAATAGGAGTACAGCAAAACAAAATCGCGATATGTATTTAGGTTTTGATATATCACTTATTAGTACTCGACTGTTACTTACAATATTATATCTGGCACTTAATTTTGATAATACTGATATTCAGTTGTCTCATTTACTAAGATTTGTTCAAGAGGGTCACCTTAACTTACATTTTTGTACTAAATATCTACCCAAAGACATAGATGTGTCTTTAATTGATAAATTCAAAACCGCTTCAAAACAATTTATTCCTACACTGTATTTTATGCGGTACAAAGCCATGACTTTCATCAAAACATTTTCATTAGGTCCACCATTAATTCAAAATGTAACAAATCTGGTTGATCTATATGTAAAAGAGTTATGTCTTCCTAATGATTTTAAAAACCTAGTTTATTCTCTAATGCATTATTTTTCACCAACAAAATTTCTTCAAGTCAAGTATGCTGATGTGAAAAACACTAAAGGAATCCCTTTTTACGAATGTACAATAATGTCATACATTCTCTTTGCACTGAAAATGTGTTTTGGATTAGATGATGTTTATGAATTAAAACTGTCACAGGTAGTTGATAAAATAAATGAGGATAACTGTTATCTCAAATCTTATAAATTAGGGGGTCATTCTGAACCATCAGACAGATTGTTTTCATTTCGTGAATGGTGTAATTTTTTGCGATTCCGAAAAACAATACTATGCAAGTATTACTGGCCTCTGGCTGAATCACTTTATAGTAATTCAGATGATTATGTTTTTATGGAACAGAGAAATATAAAAGAGCCGTATAGAAAAAAACCATCATTACATGATGAAATTACTATGACTTTTTTAGATAATATACCAATAGAAACAGAATTTGAGGTGATTCCTAAAAGTGAGTTCCAACCCACTTTAACACCACTAACTACCTACACTGATGTTGTGTTGCAGTATTATAATGATCCAGAGTTAAGATTATTATTGAGTGAAGATTTTACTCAATATTCTATAAAATATGCTTGCCGCCAGTTAAAATTGTACACCCCAGAAGATTGTAATAATATTGTTGTAGGTATCCATGTTACAGATCAAGATATAAAGTCGAAAGTTGTTGGATGTCTACAAACAAAAATTTATGACATAGAAATGGTGTTTGTAAGAAACTGTGATAATAAAAATTGGATGAAAACCAACAGGCCAGCCTTGAAACATATAAAGAAAGTTAGCAATAGTGAAAGTGATAATGAATATGATTCAGACGAAAGCATGTCAAGTGATGCCGAGATGGTTAGTAAAAATTATAATACTCATATTGAAGATAATTATAAAGAAGTGGTAGATACTATTGTTGAAGAAGATGAAGGTAAAAGTATTTTTGATGACGAGTTTCTAGATTATGAAGTTAAAATCAAAAGAAGTCTGCCTGATGAAGATATGGAAAGAGTAAATTCATTTCATAATATCAATTTTAGTGACAATGTACATAATGAAAATTTAATAAATAATGAATATGAAAATCTGAGCATTGATAAAACAGAAATATCAGATGCTAATTATTATTTCAATCCAGAGACTTTTAATAGAGAAAAAACTATTGAAGAATTAATTTTATTGACTTGTCAAAAATATAAAATATCGGTGCCAAAAGAACATAAACCCAAAGAACCAAAGAAAAGGAAATCTAAATTCCTCAATGAAGAAGCAGGAGCAAGTGAAGCTAAAAGATTAAAGAGATTAAGTAAACCTGGGGAAGCTCAAAAACAAGTTAATGATTTACTTTCCACTTATTATAGTTATTTACAAAATGATACATTAAATACAGTATCTCAACAGATTAAATCTGTAATTCAGTCTTTTGATAAAACAGAATTAAGAATAGATCTAGAAAATTATCAATTAGATGCAAATAGTAACACTACTTTTAATGAAAACGAAAAAAATAATCATAACATATCTAATAATGACAGTCGATTAAATTCTCAAGTTGAATCAACAACTGCAGTACCATTTGAAATAGACGAAACGGCAAATTCAGATTCTTTAAATACTTTTGAGAATATAGACATTGACAACAAAAGTGAAACAATTAATGATCCTAAATTTAATGAGGAAGTGTATGATATTAAACAATTATATGTGAAAGTAGCTGATCTAAAAGAGAATGATATAGATGATGTATTTGATATTCAGGATGACCCAATTTTAGAAAAAATATTAGACAAAAAAATAGAAGAGACCGCCAATAAAAAACCGATAGAATTAAAAAATTATGTTGACAGTGATTCTTCAGAAGATGAAATACCCTTAAGTGTAATTAAGAATCAGAAATTATCTAAAAAAAAGAAAGCGAAATTAAAATCAATGAAATTAGAATATTTAATAAAGAATAGAAATGAAATAGAAAGATTTCATTATTGGACGCGACATTATGTGAAATTGTGTAAACAAACAGAATTTGAAAATAAATTCAATTTAGAAATAAGTGAGAATTTGCCCAAAAGTTTTGCATTTGTCATAGAAGAGTGTGCGGGGATTGTGAGATGTTCTTCATTTCTTTTATATAAAAATTTGATGGCGTTGGAGCGACGTTTATTATTATAGTAAAGATCATAAGTTGAATTATTAATCTTTATTTTACAATATACTAAATAGCAAAAAGATATAAGCACTATAAGCTATTATTTATTTAAAGTTGAAATTTTCTCTTTTTGTTGTTGTCACTTTTATTTTCTACTAGCTGTATCCTGCGGCTTGACCTGCATGAATTAGTATAAAAAGTATTCTATGTGCTAAGTTATGAACTACCCATGTACTAAATACCATTCAAATCTGTTCAGTACTTTTTGTGTAACAAACGTCCACCCATCAATTCATTATTACAAACTCGCTTTTAATAATCGAATATAGATTAATAGAATTTACAACACCATCTTGTGATAATAACATCTCTTTTTTTATTAGAAAGCATCAATTATGGTTTAATAGATTCATTTTGATTCCAGAAATTTCTCATAATACTGTTTATTTTTTCTAGTTACAGCTGAAAATATTATTTTCAGCTGTTAATTGTTCACTGCAGGACATAAGCTTTTCCCATAAGGGGAGATTTGCCAGTAGTTGCCATGCTTGACAGGCGGGCTGGCAACCGCAGTTAGGTCTTTCAGGGTGTTTTAAAAGGGACGCTGCTGTCGATTCTTCGCCCTCCCTTAGTCACCTCTTACAACACCCACGGGAAAGGAAGGGGTAGCCCATTCTACACTAGGGCACATACGGCGTTCTTAATATGATGTGTCGGAAGTCATTGAAAATCTTTTAACTATAAAAATATTACAAATGTTACAACAAATAAGTGTTATACACACATCAACATCGTCTAGGGATATTTAGAATTTTCTCAATAAAAATATAAACAACATGCAACATGTATATATTTTTGAAAAGCCCGTTCAACATAATATAAAGTTTTATTTTAGTAAAGACAAAAAATGGTAAAATTAAATATGTTTTTTTATAAGAAAAAAGAAAAATAAGATACGTATTCAAGTTTTTTAAAATGATACAAAAATTAGAAGTCAGTAAAACCACTCATGACATTAATAACGGTTCAACAGCAGTTTTTCATGCTTTGAATCAAGTGATCAGTTTTGTTATCGAGTATTGTCGCAGGTCTTTGCTTAGATGCAAAAAATGCTGCTTTTCAGTTGCAATGTTTGCAGAAAAATCCTTCAGAGCCCTTCTTTGGAGCATGTCCCATCCGTGCTCTATGGGGTTTAGGTCTGGTGATTGCGTGGGCCAGCTTAAGACTGACACATCTTGCTCCTGCAGCCAGCTGGTCATGCTTCATGGTCATGCTGGGCGGGCGTTGTCTTGCATGAGTGTCAATTCTTGGCCCATTTGTAGTCGATGAGGATGGACAAATGGTATAATTTTAATTTATTTATTTTTTTTTTATTTTTTTTTTTTTTTGGAAAACGTACAGCTGAATTACAGTCAATACATAATCAAATTTATATCTATGTTAAGCCATGAATCGTTTTCACATTTGCGTGATGACAATGATCGGTTTTTATATATGCAAAATACATACATACACATACATACATACATTCATACACATATATATATACATACACATACACATATATACATATACACACACACACACACACACATACACATACACACGCATACATACACACATCTATAATAATTAAAAAGTTATAAATTTTGATGAGACATCTTTTAGCTTGATATATAATAACAAAACAAAAGTAATATAAAGCAAAACAACATTACTAAAATAGTCAATTAGGTGCAGCAGGGCGAGAACCAAAGAATGATTTTGCCACCTGCAATTTAATTGCATGCGGCTTTGTGTGGAACAGATCAATATCATGGTCAAACAATAATTTGTTAAACTTAACTGGAGCTCTGCAGAAATATGAATTTCGCCTAAAGTTGGTTCTGTAACGCGGTACATACAAACACGGTGTTTTCCTACGATTTCTAGTAGGAACAAAAAGGTTTATATTTTGAACCAGTTCAGGACAATTAATATCACCTCTTGCGATACTGACTAGCAATATTACATCTGCTATATCCCTTCTAGTTGCAAGAGGTAAAAAATGAAATCGCTTACACCTGGATTCGTAGTTGGGATCATCAGTTCGCGCCTTGTATTGCAAGTACTTCATGAATCTCCTCTGAATGGATTCTATCCTATTAATATATACATTATAACACGGATTCCACACCTGAGAAGCGTACTCGAGTAAACTACGCACATAAGAACAATACAGAACCTTAATAGGTTTCAAACTATTGAAATTGGCGGAGGACCTAATAACAAAACCGAGCATTCTTGATGCTTTATTTACAATATTGTCAATATGAATATCGAATAGGAGTTTAGCATCATGCGTGATCCCTAGATCCCTGACATGATCAACCCTTACTAGCTGCGAACCTTTCAATGTATAATTAAATTTTAAAGGAACCGTTTTGCGCGTGTAAGAAATTATGTGACACTTGCTTATGTTCAAATCTAATTTATTAATCGTACAATATCTATCAAAATGTTTAAGGTCTTCTTGTAGATGTAGGCAGTCGCTTATGTCATGTACTCTAGCCAATATTTTCATATCGTCAGCAAATAACAAGATAGTAGAGTAGTGGAAATATGACTTTATATCGTTTATAAAGATAACAAACAATAGAGGACCCAGGATCGATCCCTGAGGAACACCAGAGGGTATCCGATGCCAGCATGAGATATATCCTTTAAGGGTCACAGCCTGAGTTCTGTTGTTAATATATGATGAAAACCATCGAAAAAGGTTGCCATGAATACCGGCCAGTTGTAATTTTTGAAGAAGTATCAGATGGTCAATTCTATCGAAGCATTTACTATAATCCGTAAATATGGCATCCACCTGATCACCCATATCCATAGCTGAGGAGATATATTCATTACTTGAAAGTAAATTGGTTACTGTGGATCGCCCTTTGATAAAACCATGTTGATCTATGATAAAGGATTTGTTAAGTGCATGATAGAGTTGCCTGTGGACAATTTTTTCCAAGATTTTAGCAAAATGACATAATTTAGAGATAGGCCTAAAGTTTTCAATTTGCGATTTTGATCCTTTTTTATGTATAGGAACTATGTATGTTTTTTTCCATATATCCGGAACGATACCTTCTCTTAGCGATCTTTGGAATAGAATGGAAAGTGGTAAACATAAACTCTTAGCACAGCGAGCAATCAGCAACGGGGATACATCATCAGGGCCAGCACCCATACGTACATCAATATCATTGAGTAATTTTAAAAGTTCACTGTTATCTATCATGACATCACCAATGCCAGAGGAATCTGAGGTAAACGGTAGTGAAAGTGACAAATTGGTAGGATCAGAAGGAAGAAAGTTTGTAAGGAAACAAGAAGCAAAGCCGTCACATATTGCTTGAACTGAATCTAACGTTTGGTTGTTGTACGTCATTATCGACGGTAAGACATTGTTATCAGTATTTAGGCTATTTATATACGTCCAAAACGATTTGGGATTTTTAACTATAGCGTTTTCAGTTTTTTGTATGAACTTATTATAACAATCACACTCAATCTTCTTCGCTCTTTTCCTTAACAAAGTAAAAGAGTGATAGTCACTTATATTACCATAATTTTTATACTTTCGCCAGTACTTGTGTTTCTCTCTAAGAATTTTTTTGAGAGCAGCGCTATACCATTTTGGGAATCCGTCGTTTCTAATATTTTTTTTAGGTATATGTTTGTCCCGTAACGCATAGATGTTTTTGTAAAATAAAGTAACCGCGCTATCAAGAGGACAACTGTCCAGAATATTACACCAAGAAATGCCATCGAGTTCCGTGCAGATGGCGTCATAGTCACCCGTGTTGAAGCAGTACTTCACTCTTGAGGCACTTGGTAAATATGACACCTTTCTAATACTCAAAGATATTTGTAAGGATTTATGATGGGGATCCTCTGGTACAAGCGGTGCCAAGCAGTGTTGAACCTCAAGAAAGTCATTAGAATATACCAAATCCAAAATTCTACCACCAGAATTAAGGTGGTTGTTAAACTGGAATAAACCGCATTGGTTTATTGTATCAAAGAAGCTAACCTGACTTTCCCCTGTCATGCCAATTGGCTTTAAATTACCATCATCTTGAAGCCATCCTACGTTACTTAGATTAAAGTCGCCCATTAGTATAAATTTATTATTTATGGAGTTATTTACAATATTAAATAAGCTTTCGGAAAATAAATTTAATTGAGTGTTAAAGGAATTACCTAGATTCTGAGCACAAAGGTATAATGTACAGAGATGAATCCTGATAACTTGTGAAGAGTTTATATTTTTTAGATTAAGAGTGACCCAAATATCCTCCGCTGAGGATCGCCACTCGCATCGTTCTATCGCCGCAAATTCCCTTCGGACCGCTAGTAGTACACCCCCACCGCGATTCTGTTCCCTCAGAACATAGTCACGGTCACGTCTCCAAACCAAATATCTATCATCAAAGAGCTCCCCATCCTTTATCCCCTCCAATAGCCAAGTTTCTGTGATAGAAATCACGTCATAGTTGTTAAGCATTAGGTTCCTCTTAAATGTGCTAGTCTTACTGCGTAGGCCTCGAGCGTTCTGATAATAAATATTAAGTGTTACGGTGAATGATAAATAAAATAATTATATAACAATAAGAATAAAATAAATGTATATGATTTCACTTGATGTGTTAATATTGAATAAATTACGGTGAAAGGGATAGAACTACCATTAATATTATAAACATAGTTGATAATGAGTGATAATGGTATGCTAACCCCGTCTGCGCTATTGTTATACACTGGCGGGGTATCAGTGAGGGATGACAGATGAAGATGAAAGTTAACCTACTTTAGCCCATCCTAACGAATTAAACTAGAATTAGTCACGATAGTTTCCAGGGGGAACCACGTGGAGGTCGACCTGACAGGGTATATTGCTAGTAATAGGGCTATTTGACCCCATTACTAACAATCCCTTTCCCCCCAGACAATTGTTATTAGATCCTGGTTACGTTATTTTTAGCGGTCATGGTGTTTCTAATCTA